ACTTTGTTTCCCTTTCGTCGGATTTAATTAAATTTTGATTGATTACAATTTGCTAGAAGGCATTTACGCTTGCAAGCGAATGTGCGTACTGTCGGAGAGGAATATTTGAAATAAAGTGCTCTTCTGTCACAATTCTGTAGTAATTGTGCCGAACTGAAAAGCCACGGGTGGAGACGTGGAATGCTCAACGGACGTGTATACGCCGGGCTCCTTGATTTCAGCAATGCGTAAGCCTGCCGTTAGAGTCACCGTTATTGTCATCTTTACGCAAAGCTCTAGAGTCCCTTGTAGATGCCGCCGACTGAAGCGTTCACGGTTCGGCTTTCGTAACGCTGCAAGCGGCTTTTCCACGCAGTACAACTACATTTGCATGCCGCCTTTGAGTGACGAAGGAATAATGAAATACAAATTTAATTTGTGTACCCTGAGTTTTGAAAAGTGAATGCTGCGCGGCTAAAAGCATACAATTGCAAACGTGGCGAAGAAACACCACACACTAGACACTGGGATGCCGGCACCTTTGTTGTAACTACTCACTGACGGTCCTCGGGCTTAATGACATTTATTTGTAAAAGTGAAGGGGATTTCTCATTAAAAAATATGTGTAGTAAAGGGAAAAATCAGAGTAAAACGCGGTCACCTATATAAAAGAAACTATCAGATAAATAGGGATCTGAAGGGGGCACCTCAAGATGCTACGAATCGGTTCGCAAAGAGGAAAAACGATCAAATAACCCCTCAGCAGCCGCCAAGAATGAAGGGCAACCAGCCACAGGCGGCCGGAGGAAAACGCTACTCCCCAAATCCGCCGCCGGTGGAAGCGTTACAGCACAAGTACTCGGAGGCTTTAAATGGCATTCGGATGGCGGCATTAGCCCGTAAGTATTCAGAACATGTGGGCGTGGAAGGTGGTCGCGAACAGCGTTGATAAATTTAGATGGAAGCTCAACATTACGGTTGAAGATGAATTCTACAATTTTATCCTTCACAAGTTATTCCGACAGAACTTAAAATTCAGCAATGAGCTGAAGGGGCGCTACTCTCCACTCAGAAGCTCAGATGGGTTAGAAGGGAAGATTGGTGAGGACAGTGGAGACGAGAACTCGTCTCCCATTGAGCACATCCTGTTAACTTTGCCGCCGGCATAGAAGTTGCCCATGTGAACCTACGCCATGCAACGGCAGCCTCGGCTATCATCGCGAGGAGATTCAACTCGGATAACATGGACCAGCAACGCAGATGGTTAGAACCGATTTTTGATCCAGGAACAATGGGTCTATAGAGCAGAGGTGAGAGTACCAACTTCGAAAAACAACAAAGTAAAAAAAAAAAACGCTTGTGTAGTGGTTAGAATCGATTTAGACTTCTACTGTATTTCAGAGTTCCTAACACATAATCTTAGACGGCTACAGTATTATCCATTAAAAGGCAGAGCGAGACCTTTACCAGTGCGAAGGACAGGACAAGGAGGAGTGTCACGGTTCAGGTTGACATAATTCCATCATTGATCGCACGGAAGCCAGATCGTATGGACTGGTTTATTGCACGGGATCTCAATCAAGTGGGCACTGGCTTCCTTCTAGAACTATAATTCACCAGCAGCGGATGGCATATTTCCAGCTCTTTTGCAACAAGGTATGAAAGTTCTCTTGCCATACCTGTTAGGGCTGATGGCGTATATCCCAGAAAGATGGAAAATAGCGAAAGCAATCTTCATCCCCAAGGTAGGTAGGAGATACTATTCATTGGCCAAATTATTCCGGTTAACTAGTCTCTTATCCTTTATGCTAAAAGGGATAGAAAAGATAGTGGACAACCACAGAAGATCGGAAGTGCTGAAAATCGAACCCCTATTCCAGCCAGCACGCACACGGAGCAGACAGATCCACTAACACTGCTTTGAACCAGCTGAACTATAGAATTCGTTGAATAATGGCGAGGTTGCGATATGCTCCTTCTTTGCCATTAGAGTGCCTTTGGTAAGTTTCACGCAAGCGTGATCAAGGCACTGGAGAAAATTAACGTGACGGTTCCAGTATGCAGATGTGCGCTAGGATAGCTGAAAGAGCTGTGGGGGAGAGCAAGAGCATTGTCATAATGGCGCCAGTCAACTTTTAGAAGACTCTCTATGACATTGTTCAAAGGGTTTTAAGTCTAGGTAAGGGGTGGTGCAACACGGTAATGCTAAGTATAATCACGACAAAAGCTATCGTGATCCTTTTCACTAAGTGAATATCTCTTCAGGGCTTTAGGCCCCTAACAATTGGGGGCAGCGAGTTGGAGATGTCGAAAGAGGTCATATTCCTTGGCTTCACATTAGACTAATCCTTACGGTGGAGTAGGCATGTGGATCTAACGCTGTCCAAAGCCACCAAGGCACTCATGCATACGCTTTTCTGGCAGATCCTAGGGATGCGAGCCAGGTGTCATTACATAGCGGTATACCATGATTGTAAGACCTGCTTGGGCTGCCAAAGCAACGCAGTCTTCGGTTCGCTTGCAGTCATGCTGGAGCCCACACCGCTGCATCTCATGATTAAATAGGTAGCGAAACATACCATGCTACTAATGTCAGCAGAGGGTTTCGGCGAAGGGAAGATAACGTCGACGGCGTTACAAAAAGTCAGAGTGGAATGACTTCACGCTTGATAGAGAATACTATCCAATGGTACACTGAGGGCTCGAAAACACCGGAAGGCATTGGAGCAGGTATTACGGGGCCGCATATCAAGCTATCCACTCAAATAGGTCGCTTTCGAAGCTTTTTTCGTGCAGAAGTTTTTACTATAAGTCTGTGCGCAGAACTCAGTCTCCACCGCAAATATAGCAACCAGGGTATCGCCATCCTTAGCAACAATAAAAGGGGCACTAAAAGCGATATTAGCATAAGAGGTTAAATCGCTTTTAGTAGCGGAGTGCATATCAAGACTGAAGCGCGTATCAGTGAGCAACCGGGTACACCTGGGTGACGGGGCATAAAGGGGTAGCCGGAAATGAGCTAGCCGACGAATTAACCTGCTCTGCAGCAGCGTCCAAGATGACGGGATCAGAACAATGCATCGTAGTGGGGTCCTGCACTCTTAAGGTGCTGCTCCTCACAGAGGAGAGAGTGGAGAAAGAACAACACTGGCAGCAGGCAGCAGGAATGCGCCTTGCCAAACTGCTTCTAGGAGGGTACAACCTTTTAAGGTTTAGGGAAATAATCAACCTCCCTTGTGACAAAATCCCCCTCCTTGTCGCGCTCTACACAGGGCATTGCAGACTCAGGGGACACTTGTCCAAAATGGGCAAGCTGTAATTTGAGTAAAAACTGAGATGTTCTAGTTCCTTGGCATTAAAGTGAGGACGAGGTCGTAGATGATAAAACACACTTAGGTGAAAATCCATATCTGAGAATTTACTTGATCAATATCCACCAAATTCGGTGTGTTATATTATTGACTATTCTTTTGATATTTCGGATAAGAACCGGACCCACTTGCATTATAGTATAAATCAAGCGCCAATAAATATATATATAATATAAAAAAAAAGTTTGCATGCATAGTGACTTTAAGGTGTGCAACCTCCGGTCTTGAAAATTATTCCATCCCCGAAGTGAGATTCCGCAAGGTCTGCAAAATACGCTTAAACAGCCGTTATGACCTCTTCATTTGATGAAAAACATTTGCCATGCATACATTTTTTGAGTTCTGGAAACAAATGGAAGTCGCTAGGGGCCAAATTTGGTGAATACGGAAGATGGTCCAACAATTCGAACTTTAATTCATGGATTTTAGCCATTGTCTCAATGGTTTTGTGACACGATGCATTGTCCTTATGAAAAAGGATTTTTTTTTTTGCAAACCAGGTCTTTTTTCACGAATTTTTTCCTTCAACTGGCTTTAATAAATCTCTCTTAGTCAATCAACGATCTTACAAAATCATATCGTGTATTTTTTCTATGATTTGTGGTGTTGATGTGCCTTTTGGGCGTCCTTCGCGTGGATCATCTTCAAGGCTTGTATGACCACGTTTAAATTCAGTAACTCATCTTTCTACTGTTCTAATTGTAGGTGAACAATCATTATCCACTTTAAACATTCGTTCGTGAATTTATTTTGGTGCTACACCTTCCAAAAATAAGGATTTTATCACTGCACGATATTCAATTTTTTCCATTGTAAAAAACGTGACGTGTGACACAGCGATACTGAATGTACACAAAGAATGAATTGACAGATTGAAATGAAACTTGACATAGGATCATATGAAGAGTGTACCAACAAAACGAAAAAATTTGGGCTAGTAGCCACGCCCTCTCTTAACGAACGACAAAACTTATTGAACAACATGGTAGATAAAATTGGATCAATACTACGCCTATATAGCTAATAAAAGATTTTCAAGTTTCCGGTTGGCCTAATACTGTATAAATCGGTCAATAATGTTGGATGTACTTTAGCTTAGTGTCAAAAATATTAGTTTGTCAAAAAAGTCTTGCGGTATTTTCGCTATTTGGCGCTGAGAGGGCGTAGTTCTAGTTTTATTCGTCGCATCGGGTCACGCTATACCTTTTTGGAAAGCTCATTTCACGCGCTAACACGGGTTTGATTGATTGTCGTTTCTTTTAAGTCGTTCGTGAGTTATAGCGTCGTAATCTAAAAAGGTTTTATGTTAATGATGATTTAGTGGATACCTCCCTAGTCGCGATATGAATCGGAGAAGAAACAATAAATTTAAAGCTATTAAAATTACTTTTACGGCCCTACTTAAACCATATAGAATCAACGCAAAAAATGCAGTCTTAAAACTCCACCTGAAAATATTATTGTGTAAGCAAACCCCCGCATGTTAATAGTGTGTGTTAGGTATAAAAACTAATCTGATAAATTGGTTAATTTTCATTGCTACTTAAACTGGAGTGATCTTTGCTTCTGGAACCCTTCAAATATGGTATAGTAGTTAGACATATACTTATGGTACATATTCTTATCACTTACAGCTACGCTAGCACTTACCGATCTATCGATATCGCCACTAGATTGAAGATCGATGATGTTGAACATATCACATCCATAGCTATATAAAAATCACATATGAAACCCGGAAGATCCCAACGTCCTCTATTCACCTATAAGACGATAAGTTATTATATAAGTAAATATGCAATATTTTGCTACGAGTAAATTATTATTAATCTAATAATAATTTTTCATACGAAATAAATTCCTTATATTTCTAGTACAAAGGTATTAAATATCAATTAATTTAGCAGAGTAATATTAAGGCATATACACATGTATACAAGCATATACCTCTTTAACATATTAACACATAATTACAAAAACTCCTATGTATTTACTTAGCCATAAACTTATAGCATAATATATGGATGATGGAGTCATATGTAGAAGTTCACACAAGTGAGGAAAGTTCTCTGATCGCCATTCACTTGGGAGTGGCCAGAAACGATTCTTTTACATGTGACTCAAGCAGCTCACGATTTGCGGTCTTTGACCAAGTATCCTCTGGGTAGCCTAAGAATGCATAAGCATCGGATGAGAGACCCCCTTTTGATGAGAACCATGGCAAACGAAATAAGGACTACGAATTGAGGGCATGCACCTGGAATTTGGGGTCCCTTAATTGGGAACGTGCCGCTGCCCAGCTGGTCGATGTCCTCGTGAAAATAAAGGCTGACATCACTGAAAGAGGTAGAAATGCGTGAGTACGAAGAACTTGATAAGCTGGCCGACAGGGGTAATGCTCGAATGCCGGAGCATACCCTTGTAGAACCCCCAAAGGTGATCTAGTCACCGATGCCCAGAGCATACTTAAATTATGGAGGGAACACTTCTCCAGCCTACTGAATGGCAGCGAACGGACAACCTCAGGAGAAGGCGAACGAATAGCAATTACCCGCCTGAAGAACAACAAAGCGGCTGGGCCGATGGATTGCCAGCCGAGCTATTCAAACTAGGCGGCAAAGAATCCTTATCAGTTCTTTGCATGCATCAGCTTCTTTGTGAAATATGGTCATGTCATTGTTGACAGTCATAACTTTGAAGTCGTAGATAATTTCGTCAATCTTGGAACCAGCGTAAACCCAACCAACAATGTCAGTCTGGAAATCCAACGCAGGATAACTCTTGCCAACAGGTGCTACTTCGGACTGAGTAGGCAATTGAGAAGCAAAGTTCTCTCTCGACGAACAAAAACCAAACTCTATAAGTCACTCATAATTCCCGACTTGCTATATTTTGCAGGGGCTTGGACGATGAGAACAACTGATGAGTCGACGTTACGAGTTTTCGAGAGAAAAGTTCTGCGAAAGATTTATGGTCCTTTGAGCTTTGGTTACGGCGAATATCGCATTCGATGGAACGATGGGCTGTATGAGATATATGACGACATTGATATAGTGTGAATTAAAAGAAAGAAGCGGCTACGCTGGCTAGGTCATGTTGTCCGGATGGACGAAAACACTCCAGCTCTGAAAATATTAGACGCAGTACCCGCCGGGGGAAGCAGAGGAAGAGGAAGACCTCCACTCCGTTGGAAGGACCAAGTGGAGAAGGACCTGGCTTCACTTGGAATATCCAATTGGCGCCACGTAGCGAAAAGAAGAAACGACTGGGCGCTCTTGTTAACTCGGCTATAATCGCGTAAGCGGTGTCTACGCCAATTAATAAGAAGATATGGTATAATAACTAACACTGTGTCCATTAAGTACACACAGATATGTTCGAAACCTACAAACGTATGTTTTATTGGAGTGGACTAAAACTACTGGTAATTTTACTCATATAAGATACTCCAGTTCGGAATTTACACAATTAGGGTAATTACTTCAAATCCTCTCTGGCGCTAAATGGAGTCGGCTTGTAACGCTTGTCAGTTATGTATGCATTTTATAGTGTCTCCCACGTTTTCTCCTGGACGTTCCAAATCTTCTCGAATATCTTTAAAACACATAATTTTCTCTTCTAATTGGACTGCCCAGTAAAGTAGTATTGTATTTAATTTACAGAGCGCCGCTTCAACGCATTTATCCAATTTTTATTCGCACTAAATTGGCGAGCACGGTGCTTCGATGCGATTTGAGATATTGTCGGTTTTCTTGTGAAACACACTGTCGTCAATTTATGTATAACCAAATGACCTCTCATATTTGCCTGATAACAGCGTAATTATATTATTGTTGCAAGCGTTTATTTGCGTGTCCGCGCGTGTTTAAATATAATGGCGTATTTAGCTGTACAAATAATAGTAAATGGAAGATTTATTGCCTCATTCGAGACTGTTCAGCAAAGTGTGGCGTTTATTTTGCGAGACGTGTGTAAGCAAGAATGTGTAAATGATGTTAGTTGAATTTTCTTATCACTGTCTTGCAAACAGTGCAAAACGGACCCTCCTATGAGATGCGATGCCCTGAGGAAACTCTTAAAAATGAGATAGAGAGCAAGAAAAAGTGACAAAATACATGGTGAGCTTTAAGCTCAGTATTGAAAGTACTCATATCTTGTTTGTTACGGAAAATTTTTCACTTTTTAAAAGTATTTTGCTTGCATTTCTTATGGGTTTTTTAGATAACATATCGCTATACATAGACCTGTAGGCCCTTTGTAATGTCAGCTCAAGGTTTAGTTTGATACTAACTCAAGTTATGATATCTAATTCTAGCTGTGTGCTTCTAAGCTGTGATGCCACCAGTAACTAGGTCATGTAGTCTTTTCGAGACTGTGTGAGTAAAAAGCATGTTTCCTTGAGCAAGATTTTGACGATCCTGCAAGCCCTTAAGTCGTTCCAGCTCACTCCGTCCGATTCGTCGATCTGTCTTTTCAGAATTTTCATTGTATATTGTTTTTAGCGATTTTCTGCACTGTTCCTGAAATACAGGCTGCCACTTTCAGCCTCCCCACTTCTAAGGGTATTCCATCTCAGTAGCATTTTTCAAGTTTGCTGATATATTTTATGAGATTAGGCCAGTTTAGGTTTTTCGATTAATCTATTAATATTTTGGCTTAAAGTACAAAAATCTTCGCTCATCGTTCACTAGCCTTATTAGTTTCTTGATAAAAGGTGATATGAGGCTAGAAATGTAGGCTAGCTAGTTGTTTGTGGATTGAGTATTTTATTTTGTTTTAGATATTAGAAATTCATTTAATATGTAGATTGATCCGTCCGCCTGCAGTTTGTGTCGATTGACATTTTGATAAAAATATATATTCTGATACACTCAAATACATGAGACGAATTCGAGCCCTTTTTCCTTACTTCCAGAATGAAATGAAGGCTTAACCCGCTACATTAATTTCATTCCTCACCATTTGCGATTTCTCCGACTCTGGTAACGAACTCAACGGGTCGCATAGTAAAAACAATAAAATATAATTGTATGCTCTTCGTTATGCATTGGATGCTGAACTCATTTGAGAAAATTACGAGAGCTTTAGCGAAATTCATTTCTCCTGAACAAATAATGCAGTGCTTTGTCATTGATAGTCCGTTTGCGAATCACATTTTTATTGTTAATGTCCGTCTATTATTGTGCGCTGACAAACTGACTGCCAGTGCTATGGAAAGCTGAGGAAAGCTGAATGTCTGCAGAAATTTTATCACATAACAATTGCTCGCACAGCTTGCTTACTCCGTTTCCCACTAGGGAAAGCTTGAAGAATGTGATATAGGTATCAATAAATAGAAAAAGTGGTCACAAAACGTATTGATGGACTGCCATTTTGCATGAGTAGAGAGCGTTTCTTCCGAATTCCGCACAGAGGAACGATCGTAGTAAGAGTTTTCTTTAATTTTTATATTAGCTTGCTAAAATATCCAGTTTACCTTACTGGACCTCTCAATGCTGTTAGCACTCTTGTTGTTATTGTATATTTTAATGTTCCTCTGACGAAATGGCAGTCATAAACTCATTGCTTTCTGCTGTACTTGAAAGCTTTTTACGTATCATTAACGCTGAAATATCGTCTGCTGAGTGTGGTGGCTATAGATTCGGCGTGTACTATGGAGTTGTAGGAGATCAAAAATGCATAAATTTTCATCATCATAATGGTTAACTTAACTCTTCTACACTTAAGCGTATTTGTGCATTTGAGTTCTTCCGCAGATTTTTTGATATTCAACTAAATTGAGTTGGCATCAAATGAAAGTTACGCTGGCTTTGGCAGAGAGGGATACTTACTCTTATGACTGGGCGGTAGTGAAATTTTCCCTAAAAGACACATAAACCCGCTACGAACAGTAAATACGAAGGCAAATACCGAACTCGTCATACCAAATATATGTTTACTGTTATTAGCAGAGTCAGTATAACCCCAAGATAGTTGGGATTGTATTATTGTTACAACTTGAATGTAATATGAAATTTCACATTTTAGATGACGCGGAGCTCAGAACCGGTGTAAAAATTGTACAAATGGCGAGGCAGCGCCTACATTTAGATGAAATTCTATACCTTAGGAACTGCTTGAATAATTTACTTCAACATTCTTATGATATTTTGTGAAAGTGGGCGATATCGGGGAACTAGCATACTGTACATATGTTTTTGAGACTTCCATAAGATATTTCACTTAATAGAATATATATCAAGGACCGACGAAGTTGTTGTAACAAAGCTTTGCACTCTAAGATATGCTATCTCATATCCAAAATAGTCGAAATCGGAACGGATTTTTTCTTGATTCCTCATAAAATTTGAATTTTCTGTGTTTTTTCTTTAAAACAATTCGAAATGGATTACAAGTATAAAAGCAAGTTTCAAAAATTCGAAGGTTGCGCAAGAAATCTAGAACGTTTCATAATAATGACTTGACCTAGGCTAGTACATTGATTCGATAAACGTAACTGCGACGGTTATTACAATTTGCGATTGCTGAGTAACTGGAATATGATACTACAAATACATATATGTATGCATAAATATATAATGGTGAACTAAGCGGCCAGTGAACGGTCGCTTATTTTGCCTTCCACTGCTTTTTCCGCTAAGGGAAAGATGTAAAATAATGAAATGGGAACAATAACGCCGTTTAAAGATGGTTGTAAAATCTTCTTTAAACATTTTATTATTTAGTATTCGTCCTTTGTTACAACCTTTCTTTGTTACAGCGA